CTGCTGATCTTCTACATCTCAAAGCGCCAATTTGTTTATGTGAGCCTCCAAGCAATCCTCAAGACCCAAAATGAGCAAAATAAGCAAAACCCTTGAATTACCTGAAATAAACCCTAAGAAATTGCATTTTTGTGAAGCCACGGATTTTTTGTCCCAAAACCCACTACGTGGGTCCTTCATTCATATTAATGTATTCTTCACTGACGTTCCCTGAGAAACTAATATGACACTTAATGAAAATTTAAAAAAAAACTACAAAAAATACAGTACAAATCAAAATAAAAAAAACTTTACAAGATATGATAAAAAAATTAGAAAATAAACCTAAATAATTGAAAATGGACAAAACTTACATGGATGATCTTCTTAGCTTGAAAAATGACATAATTATCAATAAAAATAGGGATTAATCACCAATCTTACAATTATTTTCAAATGATCCTCAAGGATTCACAATTGTGCTGTGTTGCCAATGGCCTAAGGTATTTCATCATTTACTCTATTTTTGTTATCATATTGTTCCTTGTCATTTCACAAATGCTTGGTCTTTCAATGTCAGTTTTTTCTCCATTGGTTTTTTTTTTCCTTCATAATTCTCCCTATAAAATATGTAATTAAAATTATTTTTCTTATTAACATTCTAATCTATGCACGAATAACTCTTATCATCATCATCATCATCACAACTTATTCTCAATAAAATATAATAACAAATTTCTTCAGGATCACATCGAGTCTTTAGAAAAATTTTATTCACTTGTGTTGTGAAAGAGCATTTTTAAAAACAATTGAAAGATTGAGATTAAGATTTGACGTCATTGCAACACCAACACGCAGCAATACACGCAACGTTTCCTACTGGTTGTTATTCAACGTACTTTTAAAGTGTAATATGTGTGTGTGTGTGTCTATATATATATATATATATTCTTGTTCCTATCACATGGGGAAGCCACCACAATTCAGTTTTATGGTGATGTAATATTGATCTCCCAGTTCTTCGGCTTTGTTCTCGTCATATCGATCATTATCCATTTCAGTTATGAAAGAATGTGCTTTTGATCATAAGGTTAAATCAAATTGGTCTTTTCTGGTTTGATTTCTCATTTAAAATTTTTTTTTTCAATACAAATTAAATTGATTTCTTTATTAGCTTGTCTAGGTATAGGACAAAATTCATCAGATCACATAAGTTCTCATATTTTTAAAACCTCATTTCAAAGTATTATACATGATTAAAATGAGATAATCAATATTTATATCCATATATCAATGTAAAACATAAAATCTGCAATGAATTGCATTGTTTGCAAATTCTTAATAGTATGACTTATTTCTCAAAATTTTAATGGTTAAATGACATTTTTGCCTAGTAAGTATTTGCTCAAGAGTGTCTGGTATGCAAAACTATTTTAAGGTGTAATGTCCTCTTTCAACATTTAAAAATGATGTAATTTTTTTCTTACCATTAAATATATTAAATTTGATTATTAGTTGACTAAAAATTATAAAAAAATATCTCAAAAATACATTATCACTATTAATTTTTTACAAGGTAATGATGTTATAATTTTTGGGGTCATTTTTTGCAGGGAAAATCGCTCCAAGGTCCCTCATAGATATTCTAATTACTAAGAGGTCCCCTGAAATGTTCAAAATAGCCCCAATCCAAAATATATTATTTTAAATAAATTTAGTATTAAATTATCAAAATATCCTTATTTTACCTTATTAAAAAAAACTATCCATCGCCAGTTGCCAAACAATCCCAATCACCACCGGGTTAGCCCTCGGAGCGCCTGCTAGTTGCCGGGGTTGGCAATGAAATAATTTTAGGAAAGGTGGTCTTGGGCGGATGAGAACCCAAGCGGCCAAGACCACATGGTTCCCAAAAATTCCATGCTCCACTAGGCTAGCTATTGAAGCCTTTTGATATATATATATATATATATATGAAAAAAATTATAGATATATATATATATTATAAATGGAAAAATTATAGAGATATATATATATATATATATATTAGCCTAGCCATATACATTTTATTAACCATATGGACTTGGGTTTTGATCCCCCCAGACCACCCTTCCCAAGATTATTTCATTGTTCATCATCGGAGTTCCAGTTGTTGGCAAGCCTCTGTTGGCTAGCTTGCCAGGGACGGGGACTGTTTGGAGCTCTAACGGCTAGTGGTGGATTTTTTTTTAAAAAAAATAAAGGTAAAACAAGGGTATTTTAGTAATTTAACATAAAATATATTTAAAATAATAGATGTTGGACTTGACGTATTTTGTGTATTTTATGGGACTACTTAATAATTGGAATCCCTATGAGGGACCTTGGCGTGATTGTCCCTCTAATTTTTAGATCTATTTCTATAATTCTTTGAAACAGATAATAGTCATAGTTAACAATTTGTTAATGGTTTGAAAAATGCTACACTCTTTAATCCTTGAAGAAAAATATTGCACTATAAAAAAATTTAGAATACTAGACTCCCCGACATGATTAATTAAAGGGCCATTTATCCCAAATTTTAAACAATACAAGAAGGACCCACCTATCATTGTTGAAATAAAATAATTCTCCTGATAAAAGACGCCTACGTCATTAGAAAACTGTCCAATTGCATTACAAGCAGCCATATTTTGCCCATCATTATATTCCATCACTGAAACCTTCTTTTTCTCTTTCAAATCGTCATCCTCTTGGGAGCTTCAGGTTCAGCCCTCGACCACTGTATGATCTCACCAGCAAACACATTCTATATTCCGGCCTTTTCAATATTATAACAATTCTATTTTTTTTTAATTCAACGTCACAATAAAACCATGCAAGAAAACAAGACTAAGTTAGGTCAGTAGTCAATAGGTCTCTACAATCCATAGGTAGATCATTGAGAATATTGACATCAAATCTTCATAATTAAATTGCCTAGAAGGCAAGCTTGAAGGCACATTTGTTAGTTTTTCTGAAAGCATGGTTAAAAGTGACAATTCAATTTTTGGGATTAATTGTCTGTCCGATGAATAAGAGTAAACATTATTGATTTTGGAGACTTTCTAGCAAAGAATGGGGCCTTCGAAGATGCCTAGGAGTTATAGGATCATAGCAGTGGTACTGGGATGAAAACTTCGGTATTTTTATAACAATGATCATTTGATATAATGTTTAATTATTTAAAGATAAAGTTCATGGAAATTATGTTTAATTTAACCTTGGTATATATAATGATATTCAAATTTAGTTTTAATTTACATTCTAACAATGTAATTTTTCATACATATCAATTTTGCCATGACATTGGTTTTCCACAAATTGATTGGTTTGAATGTGAATATTAAGGAAAAGAACGAAGCTAAAAGAATTTTTTATAAATAATCTCACCAAAATTAGTTTTACCTAGATAATTCAGAATAGCTATTTATAGTATAATTTTTAAAAATTTAGTTGCATTAATGCATATCTCTTATCAAGTGGTTGGCTTAGGTACAGTTATTTTTTTAAATTTATATCTATTTATTTCCATTCACAAATATTTTTATTAATATTTGAAAACGATTATAATTATCAACATTAAATTTTCCTTTAGTTCATTAAAATATTTGGGCTGCAATACGTAATTTCATTTTTTTTTATGATTTCGTTCTAAATCCATTGCTCTATTGGAATTTTTCGTTTAATTCCCATGTGGAGATGAATTAAAACATTTCGTTACCACATCCTTTAAAAAAAAAAAGAAAGAAAGAAAGAAAGAAATCGCTGCCACATATGATCTTTATGTTGATTAAGGGGCGAAAAAACTGTGTGCAGGATACAAAGACAATTATAAATAATTCATAATATTGCACTATCTTATTTTATAGGGAAAATAATAATAAAATTCTCTTGAATTATATAAATGACAATTAAATTTCTTAAAATGCCATAGTTTCACTGAAGTCTTGAGGGACTTCTGTGTCGATAAATTTTAAATTAAAAATTTCATTTCACCCTCGTTGGCAAGTTGTGATTCTTATTTAATTTTTGTAATTCTTTAAATAAAAATTATTATTTTTTAAATAAAAGTTGTGATTGAAATTTGTTATTTTGAAAACTCATTTTTCAATAACAAAAATGTTTAACTTTTGTGATTTACGTAACAAAAGTTGTTATTCTTTAAGCAAAAGTTGTGAGTGAGTAAGGGTAAAATAATTTTTTTCACTTTAAAATTTACTGATACAAAAGTCCATAAAAACTTTAGTGAAATTATAGCATTTTAAAAAATTAGATTGTCATTTATATAATTCAAAGAGATTTTATTATTATTTTTCCTCTTTTATATATGTGCCCACAATAGATAATTAGATATCTTTGTGCATATAAAATAGAGGGCATGTATGTTAATTTTTTTTTTAATTATACTTTACATATTAAAAAGTTGTAAGATTTTTTTTCAAACTAAATAAACTCGGACATAAATTCATGCTAAATACCATAGCTGCGCGCATATGAATGTGTGTGTGTGTATCATATCTTTAAAAGCTCATTTCAAAATAGCATGCATATATGGTTAGAATAGATAATCGATATAACGGTCGTGACTTATTTCTCGAACTCTGTAATGCATGACAACAGGACTTTCAACTAACATGTTTGAAATCAAATAATTTTCGTTGGCCGGAAAAAAAAAATATACTTTTCATGAGAAAAGAAGCCAAATTTAAAAAAAAAAGCAAAAATAAAATAAAACTTCCCTCATGACCGTTAGGCCATTTCATCACTAAAATTTTGTTTCTTCTTTCCAAAGATCATCCTCTCAGTTGCATCAGCCACATCTTTTAACTTATTCATATAACGCTATGATCTCGCCAACAAACACAACATAGTTTGTTTCAATACAATATTATAACAATTCTTTTCTTCTATAAATCCCCACTAAAGCCACACCAATTTTCTTCATTCCCATTCACTTGATTCTTTTTTCTGGCATTAATTAACATTATTCATAGAAAACAATGAAGTTCACTAGGAACTTCGTTGCTATCATTGTTCTTGTTCTTGTTCTTGTTCTTTCAGAAGCGTTTTGCGAAGCTAGGGTTCTGCAATCAGCTCCCTCTCCCTCTCCCTCACCTTCACCTTCTCCTTCTCCTTCTTCATCACCATCTGGTGGGTTTGTTCAAGCCAACGGTACAGAGTTTGTGCTGAATGGTTCTACATTTTTCTTCAATGGCTTCAATTCTTATTGGATGATGAATGTCGCTGTTGATCCAAATCAAAGATACAAAATCTCAAATGTCTTTAGAAAGGCTTCTTCTATCGGTCTCTCAGTGTGTCGAACTTGGGCGTTTAGTGATGGTGGTTATCAACCTCTTCAAATATCACCTGGTGTATACAACGAGAACGTCTTCCAGGTCTGATATTATTTGCTTTTGATTTACAGGCCAAAATGGGTATTTGATCTTTTAATTTTATATAAAATTTTGGTTTGGACCCTTAATTTTATAAAATATAATTTCTGTCACCATCCAAAACCTGAATTGTGATCAGCACATAGGTTAAGTAAGTTTACCTCTAGTTAGCCTACGGAGCCTAAAAATACTACCCATTTCACACCAATTGACTAAAACAGATACATTTTTTCCTTATCTTTTTAGAGGAGGCTGCTGGTAGTAGTACCTGTGGTTTGCTATACTAAAACTTTTTTTTCTTTGCTTTCTAAATAATTTTTTTTGTGTACCAATTATTATTATTTAAAAAATTAAATTTTATATATCATTATTTGAAAATATTTTTTCAATATTTAAATGTTCAATATCAGCATTTTTGTTAATGGAACTAACAATACAAGAGTTAGATAAAGTATTTTTCTTCAATCGTTTTACCTTAACATTATTAATCTCAAATGTTAATATTTTTAACAATCATTGTTATTTAAAAAAATTATTGAACTTAATATCTCAACATTTGATAATTTTTTTAAATATTTAAAAGTTCAATGTTGATATATTTTGTTAATAAAACTAACAATGTTAGAGTTAGAAAAATAAAAAGACACCTTATAAAATTAATGACTCAAAATGAAACCTTGTATAAAGTTGAATGATCAAAAGTGCACTTTTACACCCAATGTATATATTCATGTTCAAATAAGATAATTCAAGTTTAATTTATCCATATCATTAAAAACACTAGAAATAGTATCTTTTTATATTGATTCTCATTTAATACTTAATTCCTAATTTGTTGGCTATGAATGAATGGCAGGCACTAGATTATGTGGTAGCAGAAGCAAGAAAGTACAACGTGATGTTGATTTTAAGTTTAGTGAATAATTATCATGATTTTGGAGGAAGACCTCAATATGTTCAATGGGCTAATAGTTCTGGGGTTCTTGTTACTAATGATGACGATTTTTATACCAATCCAGTCATCAAGGATTATTACAAAAATCATGTCACGGTACGTTTATAGCCAATAATGATTAATAACATATAATCACATGTTATTGAAGTTAGATTAAATTATTGCATAAATTAAACGATAAAGTTTTATTATATGTTGATAGAAAATATACGTCCTGCATTATCCATATGCCATTTATTATTTTATTAGCATAGCATGATATGATATATATATATATATATCCATTTTTTTGGGCAAAAAATGAAAACCCCTTAAACTTTTGGGTTTTGAATTCCTTCCTCTTCTTGGTGAGAAGATGGTTCATTATGAGTTCATTTTATATAGCTATCTAACATTCTCTTTGAACTGTCTAAAATTAAAATATATATATATATATATATATACTTTGAAAAAATTTGGATCATTCTGTGAATATGAATGATCAAAATTTCACTAAAAATTACTTGTATTATATTTCTGCCATAACATGAGAGAATCCAAATTATAAATTTTGGGCTATATATACAGATAATTATCACATATAGGTAAATTATCTCATATCATCTCCTATTAGTGAAATGTAGCAAACAAATTAGCAGCAAGAGTTTTATTAAATTGCATAAATTTCAGCTTTAATTTGAAGACTCATTCAAGAGAACAATTAGATTATTTGCAAATAACTTGCTCCTCCAAGAGACTTTAAGCCTTATTATTTATATGTTAAATGTTAATGTGGATTCAATATTATTATTTCATTGGCACAGAAAGTGCTAACGAGGATGAACACAATCAGTAAAATAGCTTACAAGGATGATCCCACCATTATGGCTTGGGAACTTATCAATGAACCACGATGCAATGTTGATTATTCTGGAAATACAACCAATGTGAGTTATTAGCTTAATTAATTTCCTCAAATTATATTATAATTTCCCGTTATGCTTATTATTGTGCTTATAATAAACAATAGGATTAAAGGATAACTTGTACTTAAATTATAGGTCTAAGAATGTCTGGAATCCTAAACTTATTTTAGGAGAAATGTTTCCTTTTAACATTTTAAAATAGTGCAATACTGCTTCTACTATTAACAAATATTAACTTTGACTATTAGTTGACAAAAAAAATTATAGAAAAGGACCTTAGTCATATTAGTTTTCATATCATGTCCTTTGCTATAATTATCTTGGTTCTTTTTTTGTAATATTTAATGAGAAAACATTGCACAAAAAATGAGTTTAAGGTTTCAAATGCTTTTGCACCTATAATTTAGGGACAAATGGGTCATTTAACCCTAAACAATATAATATAATGATGAATTAATTGTCTTGTAATTGCAATTGTCTTCTAATTGCAATTAGGGTTGGGTTCAAGAGATGGCTAGTTTTGTGAAATCAATTGACAATAATCACATGTTGGAGGTTGGAATGGAAGGCTTTTATGGAGACGCAATACCAGACAGGAAGCAATACAATCCTGGCTATCAAGTTGGAACAGATTTCATCAAAACCAATCTCATTAACCAGATTGACTTTGCCACAATCCATGCATACCCTGATAATTGGTAATTCTAAATAGTTTTAGCAATCTCAATTAGTTCAATAGTAATTAAAATTCTATCTCTATCTCTCTCACACACACACATGTAATCATTAATTGCAACAATTAAAATTCCGAGAGTTTTTATTTTATTATTATTTGTTGTTTAGAAAACTATATATTTGTTTTTTCATGGATGGTTCATAAAATACAGATGCGTGCACAAAACCATATTTAAAGCCAAAATATAATCCAAAAAACCTTCAAAGATAATTTTTTTAATTAGAACTTGAATTTATTAGAGAATATACTTCCAAAGGTTTTAAATATTATTTAATTAATTGAAATGCAGATATTTAATTCACAATTCAAATGTTTCTCAGCGTTGTCAATCAGTGCAATACAAAGCTGTATATACATTGATTCATTATTTAAATCTTTCATTGCGCGCGCGCGCAAAATCCTTACTTGAAGCCAAAACATAATCCACCTCCTTCTTCGATGACACTTTTTAAAAAAAAAATTGAAAATAGAACTTATTTGAAGATATGTATACTTCTCAAGCTGTTTTATATAATATTTATTAGAATTTGTTTTATATAATATTTATTAGAATTTGTAAGAGTTAGACTTGATAACAGAATTTTGAAACCCTAATGACAGGTTATCAGGTCAAAACGATACAGATCAAATGGCATTCATGCAAAGATACATAACGAGTCATTGGAACGACTCAACAACAATCTTGAAGAAGCCATTGGTGATGACAGAATTCGGAAAGTCTAAGAAAGATCCAGGCTACAACATCAGTGTTCGAGATTCATTCATGAACAATGTTTACTCAAGAATCTATGATTTGGCCAGAAATAATGGAACTTTTGCTGGAGGGTTGGTTTGGCAACTTGTGGATGAAGACATGGATTCATATTATGATGGGTATGAGATTGTTTTATCCCAAAACAATTCCACTAGCAGTGTGATAAGTCAACAATGCTCTAAAATGATTGCGCTTGATAGCATTCATTATTGATTTATAAATTCGTACGTACTAGATAGTGAAAGTGAATCGTCTTTAGTGAAGTCGTAGAGAGATATAAACTGTTCCCTGCCAGAAACCACAGCATTCGAATAATTTTGAGTTTGATGGAAGATATAATATTTGTGAGACTTCCATCACAAATATAATTGGTTCCCCTTGATTTAGCAATATGTTGTAATATCTTGGTCTTCTGTGAGAAAGGATATGTAATGGCAGGTATTTTTTACAAAATTAAAATCACATAGAAATATAATTAAATTTATTTTTGGTATTTGGCCCTATTTAAAAGTATATATCCTTTAGTTTTGCAAGCGTTTTTTGAGTTTAGAAGCATACACTAACTTTAATGAGCTCTTGAGACCCAAACTAAGCTCAACTTTTATTGTTACAAAAAAAAAAGTATATATCATTTTATTTTCTCTTTTCATTTTGATTGCTCACAGTTTAATTCATTATTAAAGAAAAGGCCTCACTTGAAAGTTACTTTTAGCTTTTATTTGCTGATTTTTAACCATCAAGTAAAATGATGTCATATATTGAAGGCTCCCTTATTTGATAGTTATTGTGAGAAAACCTTCAATTAAGAGTTTCCATTTTTGTCCTTTGAGTTTTGAAAGACAATACTTGATAGTTATTTTAAAATAACAATCAAATATGTTTGCATAAATAAATATGGTTAAAAAAAGGCCCAAATCTGGTAAAAATATACCATAACTATTTGACAGTTATTATGGAATAATTGTCTAGAAGACATATTTGACTGTTATTTTAAAATAATCATCAAATATTCAAATACTTGATGGTTTCTTTTTAAAATAATCATTAAGTAATTATCTTTTTTTATAAAAGTAATTATCTTTTTTTTTTTAAGATAGCAGCTGCTTTTAAAGAAGCCCCCCACGCATTTGGTTAAAAAAAAAAAAACAGTCTAATACAGCCCATAATACATCACAGCAAGAGGAATAGACTAAATTTCAAATTATTCCTAAACATGTTTGCAAAACACATACAGTATCTAAATAATCCAAAATCTTAGCTAATTTGTAAATAAAATTCCTAAACTAAGTGGCTAACACCTCAAAATTGGCCAAAGTTATGTACTAATTAAATTTCTAAATTAATAGGCCTTGACGCTGTCCACTACTAGAACAACGTCATGGACAACTCTTCAAAGACTTCTTTTATACGACCAGTCACATACTGTACACAATAAACATCTTTGAAGTATTGTATGCAAAAACAACAACAATGAAATCAAGTTATTAGTTAACCAAAGTTGGTCATAATTTATTATTTAATTAATCTAATTAAGGTTTAGATGCTTTGTCAAGGATTCTCTTAGGGGCATAAGTGATGGTGTCCTTCATAAATTTCATGACGCAATAGCTGCTCCTTACTTTGATATGGCTTTAGTGGACGCTATAAAAAACCAAAAATCAATGAAATAATATAATAATTCACAGTTCCTTTATTTAAAATTTAGCCAATTAAATGAATACATTTACTTCATTCCATATGAATTATAGTGTCTTGTGTCTTCAACGGGCTTGGGAGGGGAGACCACATATGGTACATTACCACAGCTCTAACAAGAAGTATATTAAGTATGAAAGGGTAAAGGAATTTATTATTCACATGAAAGCATTTAAAATACACTGAAGTCTCATGAATTCATCAAATAGCTGCCAGATCTCTGGGGACTTAAGGGTGAATAAGTTTAAAAATGAAATTACTAATTTGTCCTCTACCATTAAAAAGGAAATTTTGCTTGAACGCATATCTCACGAAACCCATGATCAGAGATATTGAAGATTGATGTATATCCATGATTGTTGATCACGGTAGGGTAATGTTCACTTCCTCATATCTATGATTACTGCCCTTGTCTTCATCTAAGCGAGGTGAGAGTGTTCATCCGTGACTGCAATATTTTGTCAACAGAAAACAATATAGTGACTATTGAGCGAGTAAATGATTTCTTATACATTAATGATTTTATTATTGTTTAAGGGTAGGATAATGCTTTCTGGGTATACCTGCAGTCATTTGATTTGCATAGCTAATAGGTATGGATTTATCTGGTGCAATATTGATACGTTGAAAAATATCTGATATGAATAACTCTACATGTTGTCAATAGTGTATTTTTGTGTTGTCAATATGCCATGGATAGTTGTCGATATATTATATTGTGCAGGATGACTTGTAAGAATGCTTATACTATTAGAAAATATGTATTATGTTATTTTTTTTCATATAGGGGACATTTTATATATTATTCTCAAGCATTTGATACAAAATTGTTTTGTTGAAAAATTTTCGTTATATCTTATAAGACTGATTTGTAGTGTAGGATGACCTCTATAAGAAGAAGATAGAATTCCTGTGGTGGCTATTGAGTAATTTTAATAATGTGAAGAAGCACGAAGCCATGCCCTTGTTAGATAGATACTAAGAAAGGAAGAAGAGAAAATAGAAGATTATTGATAGAACTTTAGGATATAACTTTATTGATAATCATGTCCTTTTATATAGTTAGCCCATTTCGTGTAGTCAACTTAAACAATGTTATTATGAATGATGATTACAAGTTTGTAAATGTGGCAAATAATTTGTTTTATTAATTAAATGTTGACAAGTGGCCACTTGTGATTGACAAATGGTTTTCACTTCATCAATAAGCTATGTATTCGCTATTAACTAGTGTTGATATATTAGGTTTTGTTATTCCCTTTAAAAGTCAACAAACTACAAGAACCTGTTGATTACTTGCCGTTGGCAATTGATAAGTGGTTATCACTATATTGATAAGCTATGCATTTACCATTGACAATTGCTGATACATTAGTTGCTATTATTCCCTTTAAAAATTAACAAGTTACAAGGACATATTAATTATTTACTATTAGTAATTGAGAAGTGGTGATTACTATATTAACAAGCTACGCATTCACCATCAACAAGTGCTGATACATTAAGTCCTATTATTCCTTTTAACAATCAACCAGTTAGAAGAACCTGTTGACCACTTGCCATTGGCTATTGACTGCAAGTTATCACTATATTGACAAGCTATGCATTTGCCATTGACAAGTGTTAATATATTAGGTTTTGTTATTCTCTTTAAAAATCAACTATTTACAAGAACCTGTTGACTACTTGCCATTGGCAATTGACTACAAGTTATCATTATATTGACAAGCTATGCATTTTTCATTGATAAGTACTGATATATTAGGTGCAATAATTCCCTTTAAAAATCAACCAGTTACAAGAACCTGTTAACTACTTGCCGTTGGCCATTGACTACAAGTTACCATGATATTGACAAGCCATGCATTTTTCATTGACAAGTGATGATACATTAGGTGCAATAATTCCCTTTAAAAATCAACCAATTACAAGAACCAATTGACTGCTTGTCATTGGCCATTGATTACAAGTTATCACTTCATTGACAAGCTATGCATTCTTCATTAACAAGTGCTAAAACATTAGATGTAATAAATAAAAAATAAATTCTAGATACATAAATAAAAAAGTACACTTGTCTCTGATATCTTCTAGCATGGATTAGGATTTTTGCAAATCTTGGAGGTATGACCAGTCTCATGGCATCTTGCATAATGATAAACCCTTTTGTTTTGGATTTGAGATTCTCTTCTTTTATGCTTTGGCCTACCTGAAAGCCTTATAGTCATTGGTAGTTTCAAGCAAGTTTGGGCTAATAAATTTATCATCGTCAATGCTTATGGACATGGATAGTCATATGTGGCTACCGGCCTTATGTTGCTGGCATATATCTTCTGTTGAGCAGTAAGCTTGTAACATTTATCCACAAAATTGTACACATCGCCATAAACTAGCTTAATTGCTGCACATGCATGTACATGAGGTATTCCACTCATTTTTCATACTAAACAAGAGCAAGCATGTGCTACTTATTTGATGATATCATTTTTTTCAACTATTCATACGTTGTATGTTCCTTTATTGTTCTTGTTCTAACACTCCCCCTAACATATTGCATACTTCCTTGGACATAATTTTGAAAATGTCCCCTATATGAAAAAAATATAAGATATGTTCTCCAAAATAACTTTTCATTTTACAGGGCAACCTATACCACACATAGTATATTGACAACCACACACAGTATAATGACAACACATTCATCCACTATTAATAAGATGCAGTGTTGTTTCATAACAGAGATTTTTTAACAAAATAAGCTTGCATCACATGCTTGAGAATAATATATAAAATATCCCCTACATGGAAAAAAAATATAACATAATACATGTTTTCAATAGTATAAGCATTCTTATAAGTCATCCTGCATAATACAGTGTATCGACAACTATTCATAGCATATTGACAACATAAGAATACACTATTGACAACATGTAGAGTTATTCGTATCAGATATTTTTCAATGTATCAATGTTACACCAGATAAATCCATATCCATTAGCTATACAAATCAAATGATCGCAGGTATATCCAGAAAGTATTATACTACCCTTAAACAATAATGAAACCATTAATGCATAAGAAATCATTTACTCACTCAACAATTACTGTATTGTTTTCTGTCGATGAAATATTGTAGTCACGAATGAACACTCCCACCTCGCTTAGATGAAGACAAGGGCGGTAATCATAGATATAAGGAAGTGAAAATTACCCTACCATAATCAACAATCATGGATATGCATCAATCTTCAGAATCGCTAATCATGGGTTTCGTGAGATATGTATTCAAGCAAAATTTCCTTTTTAATGGTAAAGGACAAATTAATAATTTTACTTTCAAACTTATTCACCCTTAAGTTCCTAGAGATCTGGCAGCTATTTGATGAATTCATGGGACTTCAGCATATTTTGAATGCTTCCATGGGACCTTAGAATGATTTTTCCTTATTTAAAAGGAACCACTTAACACCTACAGTCTATTTCGACCAATGGACGTTAGTTGAAAACTATGGGCCCACATTCATTTACATCTTCTCTCTCCTCTCTCTCTAAAACTCAATTTCTCTCCTTATTTCTCTTAGTTCTCTACCATGGAAGATGACAATGGACTATGCAACATAGGGCTATGTCTTGGATTGGGGATGGGAGTGTATAAGTCAAAGAAGAGGAAGAATCAGATCGAAGAGAGTAATCAAGAAGTAGATAAGGATTTTTGTTTGTTTGCATATGGTAAGTCTTGCAGGCATTTCCCAAGTTCTTGTTTTGTTTTCATCTGATGGCTTGATTAGTCGGTGATTTGGTAGAATTCAAAATGTAGCAAGTTTGATTCTTCCAATAGTTTTCAATATCTTTAGGGTTTAATCAGACCATCCAGTGTTATAAATTTTGTAGGGCTGTGTAGGTTAGTATTGAATCTTTCACACCATATCCTTAATTGGTTTTATACATTGCTGAATTGGGTGTCACTCTAAACTCACCTTTTTACTTGTGTATTCTACTAGTGCCTCTATAAGCTCCTTCTCTCTCTCCTCTACCCTGCACACTAGGACTATGCAAAAGTCCTGTGGTTCGGTCCAACCCAGTTTGACTCATAACAACCTAGTCTGATCTGATCCTAAAAAATGCTAGTTCTAGAGGACCAAAAAGACTAGACTATTTTTTAGAGTAAGACCAGATTAGAGACCAAGCATCTATACTAAGTGGTCTGATCTGATCCTATATATTTATTTAATATGACTCAAATTAATTTATGAATTATTACTTACATGATGAGATAGCCAGATAGATCCCTCAAGTCACTCCCATTGCTGTGCTCAAGTAACTCTCATTCTGGCAAAGACACAAATGAAGCCCTAGTCCCTAACCTCCATCACCCTTGACCTCTAATTCACAATCAAGCACGTCACACTATCAAGCATGCCAGGTATGTTCATTTCTAATTCTTGCTTCCTAATTGTTTTGGTGAGAAAATTTTAGTTTAGTCTTTAGTGTCTCTTTTTTGATTCTGGTTTTTGATTCTCATCACTTTTTAATTCACTGTATTTCCTAATTGTTTTTTATTCTTGTTTCTACATTTAGTTTTTAACTCAGCAATTGGCAAAGCAACAAATCATCCAGAAGGTTTTGATTTGTTTAGATACATCCCCATCTTCCACATGGAGTGCTTATTATTGTTGTTGTTATAGACTAGGATTAATTAGTCGAACTTGGACATGCCTGCCTTTACTCGATTGGTTTTTGAATTTAT